TTATTTTTTTAATAAATAAAAAAAAGAAGGAATTAGAACTATTAGAAGTTCAAATCGGATTAATTAAACAGGAAATATCCACTGAAACTCAAGAAGGCCAATATGCAGAACTTTTAGATCAAATTGAAAGAACGGTGAAAGATCTAGACAATAGAATAAGAGAAGGTAAAAAGAAGAAAATTATGAGGGATAAAGAAGATTATGATAGAGGAATAAAAAGAAACTGGAGAAATCAGATAAAAAAGAACCAGATGCAAATGGAATACCATAGGTATGAGGGAACACAGAATACAGATTGGAGACAAGGAAGAAAACAGAGAAATTCGAGATTTGAATCCCCTGGAAGGGAGAAAGAGAGATCCCAATACCATCACAATCGACATCATTCTCCGAGAAGAGAATCCTCTAGGAGAGAAAAAGATAGATCTCAATACCATCACAACCAACATCATTCTCCCAGAAGAGAGAGAATCCGTTCTTGGATCAAACCCACACACAATGATAGGTGGGAGATGAGAACCCCATATGGAGGAAACAAGTTAGCTAAGAGAGAAATCCAAATTAAATCTCCCAAAAAGACACAACCCAATGGAATCATCTACCAATGTATCCCCAAAAAGAGATTTTTTTAGGGGATTTTTTAGAGAAACGAGAAGAGACGAGGACGGCACTCAAGAAAACATGGAGAGAAAGGAGAGATCTATCACGTTCTCCAATACAAAGAAAAAGGATAAGAAGAGAAGAAGACAGAGAAGAACTAAGCCAGAATCAATAACTGCGTTAGATGGAGAATAAGACAAAAGTGTGTTCAATCTATCAAGTTACAATTTAAATAGAGATGATATACTTATTCAGGTGTAGCGCAAAATCAGATCCACACTTTCAGGGAATCCATAAAACTGTTTCAGCTCAGATATACATATGTAAAAGAAAAAAATGCATATAATAGTGAAGCACAGTAACAGTAAATTACATATATTTATTAGGTCCACTAGACATAAAACACTCCTATCACCATAAAAAGATTAGAGTAATAGACATAGCATGTGCAAAAAAAGATGAATGATTAAAATAAACAGTTGGCCTCTTACAGAATAAAAATAAGTGAGTATAAGCAGTCCCAGCTGCTACTCACAAACGCCTTTGTTTGCCTCAGCCCAGGCTCAGTTGGTTGTGCAGCTGGCTCCCACTTATCCTCCACGGATGTGTTGAAGTCCCCTGCCGCCGAGCAAAATAGAGCGTTGGCTTGGAGTCTTTCAAGTTTCCCGGGTGCTCTGCCCCCTTTGCGTCAGTACGTAATAGGCGAGTGTCACTGCGTCGTCTACGCGTTTCGCCGTAAAGCTTCCTCAGGACGTAATGCAGTGATACCTCCATCTCTCAATAATCCACTATTTATAGCGATCCTCTAGTCTTCAATTGAATCATTGCAAGCAGCCTCACTTAAATAAATATCGCTAATACCATTCATCTACTTAACAATTAACTACTTAACTCCCAGTACCAGATACAAATAACAGTCATATAATTAACACAGTATGAGTAACATAACCTTAAAGTAACATCAAATATCATTATGACATTATTGGACAACATCTTTTGTTATTAATCATTTCAGAACCATCCATAAAATTCCTAGTTACTAAAAGGGAAAGAGAGAAAAAAAACATTTTATTTCTTGTTAGTACATCATCCTCCAGATAAAAATATAAAATGATATAAAATGACTACATCTAAAAATATTTCATCTGAAACAATATTACATTCCCCATTATGTATGATTTCCCTTGATAAAGTGCATTCTTCAAATAAAGTGCATTCTTCAAATAAAGTGCTCCTATTAAAGTACTATAAGGTGCTGTATGCTCTACTTTCAATAAAGTGCACACCGTGGGAATATTTAAATACATAGAGTGTAGCATTGTTTCCTACTTAAAACATATGCTTCCTATTTAAAACATGTTAAGATGTATTTAAAATATCCAAAAATGGCAGATGTCGGGGGAAATGAAGACCTTTGAACAGATGGTTCAACATGAGATAAAAAACGTCAAACCATTCAAAAATTTTGAACAGAATTTAACAAAATTATAAGTGAAGACGCTGAGAGATTTGAGAGAAGACCCTGACATTGTAGTAAAACCAGCAGATAAGGGGGTAGTATTGTCATTATGAGCAGTACGTACTATAAGGAAGAAGCCCAGAGATTGCTGGGTGATAAGAATACCTATAAAATACTTCCGGCTAATCCAATCAAAGAGATAAGAGTTACGTTTAGTAAATTCCAGAATATGAAAGGAGATGAAGATTTTAAGATCAGATCAAATTTAAGCTGCAATTCCAGTGGTGTTATCTATCTTCTGACATGTCCCTGTGGGAAGCACTATGTAGGACGGACGAAAAGAAAACTTAAGATCAGGTTAGGGGAGCATATTAGAAGTATCAAAAAAGGGTTGAGTACCCACAATCTTTCGAGACATTTTTCCACCTGTCACCTTAATAACGCAACAGGTCTCAAATTTCTAGCTATCAAGAAGGTCAATGTCCATTGGAGGGGAGGTGACTTAGAGAAGGCTCTTGATAGAATTGAAGCTAAATGGATTTTTAAACTTAACAGCCTTGAACCATCTGGCTTGAACATCGATTTTGAGCTCAATGCATTTCTCTGAATGTAATTATTTTTTTTTCTCAAGGCCAGTATGTGGCAATATATCACTACAATATGTACTAGATAAACACTAAGAACATACACGTTGTTTTTCAATTTATAATAAATTTTCAACCAATTCTTTTTTATAATTTATATGAATATACAAAAAAAAATTTTATTACTATAATATATACAGATAGGCACTAATAATACGTATATACGTATATAATGCTATTTAAGAGAAGAGAGAACTGAAAACGCCATCCTCTGATGAAGTGATCCTATGATCATGAAACGCGTAAGGCGGTACTTCACATCGGTCCCCAGGAGAGCAAGTTGGAACGCATCCAAAGCCGCAGAGGAACGCACGCGGCTGATAGACAGCTTTTCATACAGCACGAGGAGGTCCATAACCGATTTCATCCGGCCGGTGAGATAGAGTGCTAAAACAAGTTGGATCCTCAGACTGTATGTCAACCATTTATTGCTCTCCTTAATTGGGGGATTTTTTTAGTCATTTATTTTATTTGTGTATATGTCAGACAATTGGTGCTAATAAATTATATATTTTTAATATAAGCTACCTGTTGGCTGCACTATATAAATGACCCAGTTCTCTACATTTCTAATATAGTGGGGTCAATATTTGGTTATTTGTCTATTGATCCCTGAGTGTATTGGTATTTGATCTATAATATTATTCAAAACCTTTACTAGATTAATTATTCAGCTATTGTTTATTTCTCTTGCCCTTATATGGTAGGATAGGTATAACAGGCTGATACAAATTATCCTTTTGGAACATTGTTGCCAAATCTATATTGTTGCAAATATATAACATTTCATCATTTCCACAGAGTCCTGCAACTACTATTGTTAAATCAATAGTTATCAACTTTTTTACATTTTCTAACCGCAGGTGGCGGTCATTTTAGCAGTGACACAGTGGTTTTGATAACCATTCAGATCTCATAGCTCAACTTTTTTTAGCCACACACCAGGATTCAGTGGTGCCTATCTACTAAGTTGCTTTCATTTATAAAAATATATATATTTTTATATTAATATATAAAATTTTTATATATTTATATAATAATAACACACATATACATACATATATAATTATATTTTAATTTCATAACTTTTTATTTTTCCGATAGCAGGGAGACTGCCTGTCAGTTTAAGCAGTCCTTTTGCAGGCAGCACTATGGATGCCCGCCATCCTTAAGGGGTTAACCTATGTTACTATCCACTCTGGTTTTGTGAGGGATGTTACATTGTTGCTTATTCCTTTTATTTATGCTTTTATTCAGTGTGTACTATGTATTACAGTTTGTATTTACAGATATGGAGAACCTTAATTGGACAGCTCTTCCAAAAGACACTTTTTTTTTTTCCTGAAATTTTTTATTTAAAAGGGGTTAACCGCCATTTAGTAGATCTTCCCCTTCCAGAGACACAGGCACATCTACCGTAGACACCAATCCACCGAACCGGAGAAGCATATGAATGCTGTAAACAGCCGAACCGGAACCATATGAATGCTGTAAACAGCCGGATAGGAAAAACCATACGAAAGGTTTACACTCCTAGCAGTCGAACTGAAACAGCATACAATAAATCCCCCCCAAGAACGAGACAAAGCTCCGTGTTATGGGTCAAGAAGTGAACAGGTTTATTCAGGGCTACCTGCCCAGTATTTATGCAGGTCTCCCACCTGGTGGACACTCCCCTAGGGGACCAGATGGAAGACTGTAACACAGACAGACATGTATCACATTCAGACACACAGAAGTAAAACATCCTCACAATGCATCCTAACTTCCCTCCCTTATCCTGGAGATAATTGGGAAGTAATCTCCCAGGACAGAGGCAAAACTCCATTATACACGTGGGGACACAAAGACAGTAAAATACATTAAAACATACAGTGTTACATTTAATACATAAAATCCATACATGTCACATATCCCCAGATAGCTGGGATCTGAGCGCATATAACTACCGAATCGCGCTCAGATCCTATACACACAGTTCAATTGCCATGGAGCCAAATTCTTTAATTACATGAAAAGGCTCCATGGCATAGCTATCTGGGTTAAAACATTCACATAGAAAAAGTCCTGATCAATCCAGCATTCGGCTAAACAGCCACAAATAGAAACAGGGATGGCTGGAGGCTTTTGTTATTTTGTTCGGTAGATAAAATCTACCGAACGCCCTGGCAGTAAGGCATGAATAAGCCTTTCTGCAGGGAAAATAAAGTAAGTTAAAAGTCCCTTCCATAGTCTAAAGGGAGCAGGCAGGCAACCAGGCTCCTCCAATGCAATGTGGCGAGATTGCTCTCGTCACAATTGGTAATGTGGATCGATCTCCATTTTTAAGACCACTCAGTTGTGATTCCAACCCACTCAGATGCCTGAGCAGTTGGGGCAGCAGACCAGTCATCAGTGCTAGTTGGCTGGGCACTCCAATCTTCAGCTTAAGGTTTTGGAGCAGCTGGAATATCAGTTTGTTCTGGAGCAAACTGCTGAATAGGCAGAGAGGGAACCTGCACACCTTCGGACCAGTCAGCAACCTCAGGTTGAGGGAAGTCTGGAACCGGTGCCGTCCATTCTCCTTGGTACTCTTCTTTGGTGGTGGCCTTCTCAGCTGCAGCCTGTTCTTCCTTCTCAATCTCCTCTGGATCTCTGTAGAAGTACAGATTAGGCATGACCTCCCAGGGGTGTTCACGGGAAATTGTACCTCTCATGTGCAGAACTTCACGGACCAACATCCACCACAAGAGACCCACTGAGTGGGCACCCTTAGTTTTGCAGGGGATGGCTATGTCTACATAGCGCAGGGGTGAATCTGTATTGCATAAATCAACAGTAGGGATATTGACGTAGGAGGCTTCTGTCAGAGGCTGATGATCAGCTCTGGCATCAGTCATGACCAACAGATGTGGCTCACGGAAGGCAGCCTGGATCTGATTGGTGAAGGTACCAGGAGTGAATCGCCCAGCAATTGGTGTAGCACCACAGGAAGATGCAAACTTCAGTACAGCACGCTGACCAATATTTCTGGAGGAAATTACACACACATCAGCAGGGTTCTCAATAGCTACAAAACCCGAGCTGCAAGGAGAAGCTTTACCCATGTGCGTTTCAGATTGATTATGTAAATTCCATCACTTTTTCTCTTGTAGATGTATTGTTCCATTTTGAAAGTCTAGGTTGGTGCCACCCAAGTAGGTTCCTGCTGCCAGGTACTTGAGGACATCTTCCTCCTTTATCTGCAGGACTTCTAGAGCTCTGGACATTGTTAATTTCCCCTTTAAAGTAACAACGAGGAACTGGATACAAAGCCGTATGGAGTTCCTCCTGCAGTCGCTGGAGTCAAAGAGCCCAAAAGACAATTTTTGTGCACCATAAGTATTATTTTTCTTAGTAAACACAAAAATCATTCAAAACCATTGTAAATAGAAGACACACACATCCTAAAAGAGTAACATAGACTGTTAAAAGATAACCTTTATTAATATAAGTTAAGGTGATTTTTCCTAGTTTGTTGCAACATTGGATAGCACTACAAACAGTTTTTTTGCCTTCTCTTTGCCTTCTCATCAGCAAATAACTGATGCAAGTGCAGATGAACTCGATAGACACAAGTATTTTTTCAGCATATATAACTGTATAACTGTATGTACTCAGTGTGGGGTATATGAGGACTTGCTTTTCTTTTTTAATAAAATCTTATAGATTGTAGAATACATTGCATTTCAGTAGTTTAGCTCATGCAAATACATTTGTATACAGAATGTTGAATACATGAAAGAATAAAAAGTGTAAGAACCATCTTACGGTACAATTAATTGATTATGATTTTGTCATGATGTGTCTTAGGAGAGTATTTTATTTTTTTGTGCTAGATATTCTTTAAAATCTATTATTCTACAATATACTAAAGGATAAAAGGATCTTCCCAACTGGGCTTAAAAAAAAATAATCCCACCAATACATGATTACAGTAATCATTTCTCAGCAAGCCAGTGGAAAAATATAGATTTGCTAACTACTTTCTAACTGTGTAGAGGTGCAATCATACTGTAATTACCAAGAAAAACAGGATAATTTTGCCATTTCATTGTACTATAGCATTGTGTCGCACTTAGCTTTGCAATGGAAAAAAACATAAATTGGTACTTCTTATGTCTTTTTTTTCCAATTGTTTGTTTGTTCTAAAAAAGGTTACTCTGTATTTTAGATGTATTATTTTTAAATTCTATTTTTTTCACATTGATTTCTTATATAACTGAATGCATATATGTGTTTATTTTTTCAGAATCATGCAGTGCATTTTTGCCTGAATATAAAGTATATTCTGAATCATTAAAGGCTGTACCAACATCTGTATACTGTTTCCTAAATATGAATACTCAGCAAACAGTAAGTTTCTCTGAAATATATTCAACTGGTAACAATATCCGCTTCCTATATAGTTTTTAAAACTTTTGAGCAGACGTCTTACCATGTTTAAATGCAAATTTCCTGACAAATGTAGTTATCTTAATAACTAATAATTTAATCCATAAGGAATTTTTCCATACTATTTACTGTAGTGCCAAGAAAAAATAAATCACTCACAGTGGAATTGCCAGTGACTTTAGAATACATTTAAACTAAAAAGCATGCTAGCATGCTAGCAAACAGGTACTGTACTATAGATTCACTCCAAAAAAAAATTATGATAGATAAAAAAATACAACTGCCAATATCTTCAGCTCTTCTCCCTCAGCTGCTACAATATGTTTTAATTTTACAACAAACTAGGAAACATAGTGTCAAGCCGCAAGCCGCAAGCCGCAAGCCGCAAGGGAAACAATTAATGAGGACTCCTCCGGCTGGCTGCTGTTCGTACAGACAAACGCGAACCAGGGGGAGCGTTTATGGATTGTTCCCTGACTCGAATGAGGACCTCCCCAGTGCTCCTTTCACAATGTTTGCAAACTTTTGAGCACAACTGTATATATATTCACTTCATGACAAACAAATACAAAGTCCTGATCGACGTTTCATGCCATGCTCAAGATCAATGACTGCACCATTTTTGGACTCGGCGGCTGCAGCACTACTTATTCAGAAGGAGAGGTGGGGCCCAGGGGAGCAAAGGATGATTTGGCCTAGTGTGCGGTGGTGCGCAAAGTAACATTACAAACTGACGTTGACTGCGCCATCTGCACAGACTCTGATTTACTTTACTGCACACAGGTTGCTGAAGGATCCGCCCTGTTTGCCTTAAAGTTAATTAAAATAAAAACTCTGTAGACTGCAAATAAGCATGGCCACCGCTCATTATTTAGCCATAGGCTTTGGAGCAGCCAACCTGCCATCTTGCCATATCAATCCTTCCAGTCAGCCACAACAGCAAACCAGCCTGCCAGCTACAGAACAATGACCTCAGTGTTTTACTTCACTTCAAAAACAAGACACATGTGGATGGTTATTGTTGCCACACATTATGAAGATAAGGCTTATATGCACAGATGAGGTGATGCTTATTCAAGCAAAGCAAACATTTGGGTATATATCAATAAAAGGGGAAGGAGAGGGGAAAAGGAAAAGGGCAGAAATAACCAAAAGAAAGCCATTAGAGGTATGCGTGTAGGAAAATAAACAGGTAAACAAGCCAAATATATTGAACATGGTTGGTAAAATTAAACTTTAGGACACGACATAAAGGTGATAAAATATGCAATATGCTCAAAATATACACACACACACACACAGTAATATATTTTTAAAGAAAACATGAATGAGCATGCAAAACACATTTATTTTATTTCTTATGGGATTCATATTCACCTGTAGGTTATAACAGAATGGCACAATCATAAAACAAAACATGGCAACAATGAAAAAAAAGGAAATGACACCTGTTCAAAAGTCTGCATACCCTTAGTTCTTTATACTGTGTATGGCCCCTTTTAGCATCAATGACAGTGTGCAGTATTTCGTAATAGTTGTCTAAAAGGCCCCTAATTCTTGCAGGTGGTATAACTGCCCATTCCTCTTGGCAAAATACCTCCAGGTAAAGTTCATGTAAAGTCTTTGGTCGTCTTGCATGAACCGTACGCTTGAGGTCTCCCAGAGTGGCTTGATGACATTAAGGTCTGGAGGGCACTCCAGAACCATCACCTTTTTCTGCCGTAACCACTGGAGAGTCAATTTGGCCTTGTGCTTAGATTCATAGTCATGCAGGAAAGTTCAAGAGTGTCCAATGCGCAGCCTTTGTGCAAAACAATGTAAATTATCTCCCAGTATTTTCTGATAACATGCTGCATTCATCTTGCTATCAGTTTTCCCAAGATTCCCCATGCCTTTAGAGCTCACCCCCCCCCACCCAACCTCCTAAATAGTATGATGTTCCAAACTAAAAATATATACAAAAAAAATGAAAGTGTGTGAAATATGTACTATATATGAAGGCTAAAGTTTGCTAACATTATGAATAAGTATCCACATTAAATGTGCTACTAGGATACAATAACATTTTTTTTAACAAAAACTGGCAACAAATACTATCTACATCTGTTACATCTACATTTGAGTAACAGAATGTAACTAGTATTTGTTGTCAGTTTTTTGTTAAAAAGAAAATGTAATTGTATAATCCAGCGGTTCCCAAACTGTGTGCTGCGGCTCCCCAGGGATGCACACAGGGGTGCCGCGGAATGTTTTCCCAGTGCTATGATTATAGCACCGGGAAAACATTACTGCTGAACAGGGCCGCAGGGAGACAACGCAGGAGGGAGGCAGCCATGAGGCAAGAGGAGCACTGCAGGAGCTGCTCCAGACACACACCAGCAAGCAGGACTCCAAGCCACCCTTCTGGACACATAAGGTGTCCAGGAGGGTGGCTTGATAAGGTGTCCAGGACGGTTACTACTTGTAGCGTGGCCGAGCGCAGTCCAGAGATTCCCGCACACGGAGCCCAGCCTCTGCCTGTCCACCCCCTACTCTGGTGTCTGCCACAGGCTGTGTGGAGGGGCGGGGATATGAATGACATCATATCCCTGCTCCCTGTGTACCACACAGCGCGGCTGGTGCCCAGTGATGTGGCTGGGCTGCAGGAAAGGACTCCACACAGCCAGACAGCATGCACCTGGGGGACAAGATTTAACAGATGTAAGTATGTAATTATGTATGTATGTATGTCTCTGTATGTATGTATGTATGTCTCTGTATATATGTATGTATGTATCTCTGTATCCATGTATGTATGTATGTATGTATTTATCTATCTGTATGCATGCATGTATGGATGGAACTAAATGTATGTTTGTCTCTAAATGTCTGTATATATGTCTCTGTATGCATGTGTGTAACTGTATGCCTTTATGTCTCTTTATGTACGTATGCATGTGTCTGTGTGTCTCTGTATGCCTGTATGTCCTTGTATGCATGTATGTGTCTTTATGACGGTTTGCCTCTGTATGTATGTATGTATGTATGTTTGTATGTTTCTCTATGCCTGTTCCCCCTCCTTTGGTGGTTTCTGGACAGGAGGAGTACGAAGTCTCCTCCATCATTGATTCCAGGTTTTCTCATGGTTCCTTACAGTATTTGGTTGATTGGAGGAGGTATGGGCCTGCTGACTGTTATTGGGTTTCGGCTTCTGATATCAATGCTGGTCATAAAATTAATTCTTTTCAAGCCAAGTTTCATTTCAAACCTTGTCCTGCCTGTCTGGTGGGCAGTCTTCAGGTGGGGGTAATGTCACGTATTCATCCGCACATAAAAATGTGGTTTATGGCATTTACTGTCCTGAGAGGAAAAGTTGTGCCGAGCAACATTAACGTCCTGACAGGAAAAGTTGTGCCAAGCAGCAATCATGCACATGGAAACCTGGTAATTACTTTTGGGATCAAAGGCCGGTCATGGCCAATCAAATCCACAGGATGGTTTAGCTGAGCAGCAATCATGCACACTTGGTATTTGCCTTTGGGGTTAAAGGCTGGTTACAGCCAATCGGATCCAGAGGAGGGGTATTTAAACCCAACTCTCCTCTAGCTCATTGCCCTGTTGTGGTTTCATGCCTATGGTTATTCGAGAGTGCGTTCCTGATCTTGATTTTCTGGTATTTGACATTGGCTTTGTTTTGACTTGACTGATATCTGGATCCTTGACATTTGGCTTTTCCTCATCTTTGTGTCTGATTCTGTGTCCCTGACCTCGGCAAGTATTTTGACTATTCTTGGAGACGTTAAGTCCGGCCATTCTAAGGTCCAGTTGTAGGTTATACTTAGCAATAGGTGTGACACAGTACTGCGTGCTGGATCAACTTGTAATCCTGACACTATCATGGTTGTCACCCCCTGTT